TCCACTTGGAAAATGTTGAAATTTTGGATCTTTTGATGTTCGTTTGACTTTGTTTTCCATAGAAATTGTCCATTAAAGGAAAAAAAATTTACAATTGTCCATAGAATTTGTTTCATGGCAAAAATAAAATAAAACCCGAATAACCAAATCCCACCAAATTGGTGGGAATTCATTTTCATCAAAAACAAGGAATTGGATGCGTGTGAGCCAAAACCAAGCAAATGAATTGCCAAGAAAAAAAGGGTATCAAACATGCCTATAGTGGAAGTTGGAATTTCTTTTCCATTTTTCATGGAAAATTTGGGTGGATCAAACATGGCCTTAGTTTTACATTGAGTCATCGTGACTCTACTCTATTCTTTAGATGCACTTCAGCTGGTCGCATTCTACTTTTGCTGTAAGTTGACGAAATGATTATCACTGTGATGATGTTGATGGAATTGCACATTTTAAATCAAAATTGGCTCATCGTTTTAAAATGAAAGATTTAGGTGCATTATCTTTTTTTTGGGAATCGAAGTTGCTTCGTCTCCTAGAGGTTATTTTCTATCTCTGTCCAAGTATACTATGGATGTTATTGAGCATATTCATCTTACTAATACTAAAACTGTTGATACTCCTCTTAAGTCCAATGTTCAATATTCATCTTCTAACGGTGTACCCTTGACTAATCTTACTTTGTATCGCACCATTGTTGGATTTATGGTTTATCTTACCATCACACGTCTCGATATTGCTTATGTCGTTCACATTGTTAATTAGCTTGTTTCAGCTCCTACTATAGTTCATCGGGCAGCTATTGTTATTTTTTTGCGCTATCTTCGTGGTAGTTGTTTACTTTATTTCAAAGTCTTTTGTTTCCATTGACCACCTATTTAGTGCTTTGTGTCTACTCTGATGTTGATTGGGCCAGTAACCCCAATGATGACGAGTCCACTACTGATTTTTTTTATATTCTGGGAGCGATTAACTTATATCTTGGAAAAGTGAAAAACAAACTGTCGTTTCCCATTCCTGTACTACGGCCGAGTATTGAACTATGGCATCTACCACCACTGAGATTGTGTAGGTGCATTGGTTACTTGCAGACATGGGTCTTCCTTCATCCTTTCCAACCTAGAGGTGGCAACCGAGCTAAGCAGCTCATCGGCTCGACAAAAACGAGCTAGAGCTAGCTCGGGCTCGTCAAAAAGTCGAGCCCGAGCACGAGCCGAGCAGGCCGGCTCGCTTGACGAGCTACTCGCAGAGCAGAGCCCACAAGTCGGCTTGGCTCGTGTAAAAAAAATTTAAAAAAATCAGTGACCGTTTCGGTCCTTAAATTGATTTTTCTTTTTTCAATTCATTTCTCTACCCTGTAAATACCCATCTATTACAACAATTTTTTTCTCACAAAACTTACTATCAATCTCTCATTCTCTACTTTACTCTACTCTCTACAATTTATTTA